CCCACCTCCGGCCCGCAGCGCCGCGGGTCACATGACGCGCTGCCCACGTGACGCACCCGGAAGTGGCGGCTCCCGCAGGCCCAGGCGCGCAAACAACGCGCGATAAAGAGAGAAACCAGATTTCATATAATATAAATGCGTAATATCACACCATGGGGCTTCATAACCTAAAGCTGGAATTGCACAATTAACTCCAATATGCTAATGGAGCAGAACTTACCAAAGTGAGAGCCCTCGTGACCATTTTGGTTCATCTTGGGTGCAGCCCTGGCTGGGCTCTGGTACTGCCCAAGGTGGATCCATGAGGAGATTGTTTAATAAATCCCTGCTTTATTCTTTAGCTCTGTCCAGCCTCTGCTCTAGGCCAACCTTCTCAAGGCATCACCCTCTAGACCAATTTTTAAATGTTCCTCTGGTGTTCCCAGCAGTGCTCTGAAGGTGGCAGTGCATAACTGGTACTTCTAGTATTTTCTCAGTGCATTTCTCTGGTATTTCTGACTCAGATTCCTGTGATTCTGAAGATTTGGGTGTTTTGGTTAATGCACTCAACGTATATCTGCATTTTACCAGATAACTCAGTTTTTCTTTACAATTTTTCATTATATTAATGGACATGATATCATTTTATCTTTACAGTCTTACACACTGTGGGCTATCTAGTTCTTTCAACTGAGTTTTTCCTAGTATTTCTTACATTTCTTATAACTTTATTCTGGTTCATTTGGAAACAAATCACTTGGAACCCAAATAAATCCTCTATCTCTAGTGTGTGCTTTGTGGTATTTTGTAATTGGACAGAAAAATTCAAATTGCGGGGGACAGGTGGTTGGTTATTGGGTTAAAAGTAAAAATTACTTAGGTGTCATTTCTTAATTGGATATTTTAGCCTTAAAAGACCTTGTAGAAAAAGATGGTTAGCCATTTTTTGGCTTGGCAGTAGAATGCTGTAGAAATCGGGACTTGCAAGACTGTAGATAGTCTTACAGATAAGAAATAATATAATAATAGATAAGAAATAATAAACATCTGAGTCTGAACACCAAATACCATCCTGAGCGCTTCAACCGCGACCTTGGCAGAAGCAGAAAAGAAGTTAAAAATCGACAGAAAAAGAGGTGGTTCTTTGTACAAGTCAATTAATACTGTTCTAAGAGCTATTCTGTGAAAAATAAGTTAAAAATCAAGAGGAGGAGATGTGGTTCTTGATACAGTTGAATTAATACTGTTTCAAGAGCTTTTCTGTGAAAAAGAAATTAAAGCGTTGACAGAAGGAGAGGTGGTACAAGTGAATTGATACTGTACGAAGAACTTTCCTGTGGAGAAAAAAAAGTTAAAAATTGCCAGAAGGAGGGTTGGTTCTTGGTACAGGTGGATTGATCCCGTTCTCAGAGCTTTTCTGTGGCTGCCCAGGCTGTTGGTGGGTAGGTCAGGCATGCAGATCACTCTGCCAGGCTATATTTACCCTGCCACCAGGCCATACATAGCCACTCTCACTCAGCCTCAACAAATCAGTGCTCTGTGAAAGTGCTAAAGGATCTTAATTAAACCTGGAATTGCAAAAATACAATAGAATGGTCTGTCTGTATCTGGAGACTTCATAGCCATGGTAAGTGATTGTATTTTCTCTGTCTTTTAGAACAGAAAAGGCTTCTGTTGTTTAATCTGAAATTTGGATTAAAAGCTTTTTCTCTGTTTTCTAATAATAGCAGTGTAATTAAAAGTTCAGTGTTTATATTTTGCCTCAAGGCATAATAGAATATACATATATTTATACATGCATACATATATTTTTTATTATTGTCTTGCCTACATACAGTAATTTTGCATAAAAGGAACCCAGATTTGCCTAGCCCATAGAAAGATGAGGAAAACAGACAAAGAAACAACATTGCCCTGTTTATTAAAAAAAACAATATTGCACCATTGATTGGACAATTACCTTCCTACTGTTTCAAATGCTTTGACATGCTGATCAGTATATTTTCTATATCAGAAAACACCAGGAATAACTGAAAAATAATGAATGTGTGTTGTGATTGCTGTACTCTCATGTGGTCTTTTGTTCCCCACAGCCATGGGTGTGTTTTCTGTACTTGCTCTGCCATTGCTTCTCTTGGGGATCAGTGGAATTATTTATATTTACCAGTCAGTCAGGTGGCTGCTGTCCAAGTCAGCGGTGCAGAACAAGGTGGTGGTGATCACAGATGCCATCTCTGGACTAGGCAAGGGTGAGTTGTCTCCTTTTTCTCAGAAGCAGACAGATGTAGGAATGTGCTCCCTGTTGATGGAGTAAACAAGTTACTTTTTGTCTCCTTAAAAAGGAAAAAAACCCAGAAGTTTCTCTCCTCAATTTGGTTAAAAGACATCTCATAGGACCTTGGGGACTTCACCTCAAACTTAAGGATAGCCAATTGGACAGAAGCCAAAAGGTTCCACCTGAGAAAAGAAGAGAACAAAAGAATTAAATTACTTTTGTGAAGTTTTTTAGCAGGAGCAAGAACCTCTTGCCCTCGTTAGGTTTTTCTCTGTAAAGAGCTTTTTTATTTTGCCTTTTATTAAAACTTTTCTGTTTACAACCCTGTCACAGGAGCCATCCTGCTACTTTTATGCCATCTGAGGTAGCTGAGCTATCAAGGGTAATAATAATAATGCTTATAAATAAGATCATCACATAAGCTCTCAGAAATAATGCTTATTTCTGAGAACTTATGAGACTGGCTCCAAGAGATGAGTATTAGCCAGAGAGCGACCCTCTGGGTGGTAAACTTGCACACATTGCCTTGGATACTTTCAGAACTGGCTGGATGAAGCAGGAGTTAATAAATATATTTATAAACAAATCCTATGGTTTTGAAGTGTATCTTTTTAGCCTCAGCCATGGGAACTGTTGGTACAGGAGTAGGAGCTGCAGAGCTTTGTGTTTATTTGATTCAATGGAAGGAGAGGTTTTGGAAGAACACAGAGTGTTATTTTTAGCATGTTGCTACTGTAAGATCTCATTTCACAGGCTGTCAGTGCAGGGTGGCTGCATGAACAGGTGTCACCTTACTTTTTACATGTTCCTTTATATATATATATAATATAATTATATTTATACTATATTATATATTATATTACATTATATATGTTGTATATTGAATTATGCTACATTTATTATATTATATTACATTATTAATATAATATAATATAATATAATATAATATAACATTATATTACATTATATATAATATTATATTATATTACATTATATATAATATAATATTATATATATTACATTGCATTACATTCCATTACAGTGTATATATTGAATATTATAATATTATAATATTGCATTACATTACATTATTATATATAAATATACCTATGACCAGTATCCCATAGGTTGACCAGGATGTTATTTGCAGGCTTGAATGAGTCCAAATAATGCAAAATTAACTTTCCACTCTGGCATATGTGCTGGCCATCCATTCCAAGCTTTAAAATTCCAGCTGTGTGGCCAGCTGCTGTGGGTGTGGGCTCTAAGGAAACCACCAAATTCTTTTCCTACATGCCAGAATTTCTGGACTAAAGGGGATATTCATCAAAGTTAAAAAAGAGAAACAAATCTATGATGATTGAAGATGTTTTCAGTGGTTTGTGATTGTTATTGAAACCTAGTTCCTGTTTCTTCTGAGTGCTGGAACTCAAAAAAGTTCAGGGAAGTTCTAGAGAACATCATTGGTTTCTCTTTTCACCTTGATTGCTATCCACATAGGAGTTTTTTTCTCATTTTTTTTCACAAGATTGCCTCAACTGTTGTTTATAGGGAAAATGTTGCTATAATTGTTCTGGCAAATACTCTTTTGGGCATTAAATTAAGAATCCTTCTATGTTAGAAAAAAAAAAAATAAAATTACTGTTGTAAATAATGAAAAAGATTACTTAAATAAAATCTTCCAGCTGCACAGGTTTGCAAAACTACAAGGGTGGATCCATAAATATTTCCATACAGATATTAAGAGTCTAACATAGTCATTTAAGAAATCTAAAATGGGTAGACTAGTATAACTGGATTTCCTGTGGGTGCTGAAATCTGGAGGAAATATTTCCTAGAGAACAGCAAGCCACAGCACTGGGGTTGTTCTGTTGCCCATTCAACACAGGCATTATCCCATTGCATTAAATTTAATTTTAATTTATTTCTCATCTATGTACTATCACAAATCAATGCTTTCTTTTTTCTCATATTATTTAAAATTAAAGAATTTTAAAGCAGGGATTTAACACCCTTTGCAAAATCAGCATCCCATTTCAAGCAAAATAATCAAAATCAATTTTCCACTATTGTAATTATTTTTTTAATGTCTTTCTCTCCTAGAATGTTCTCGTGTGTTTCATGCAGGAGGAGCAAGGCTTGTGTTGTGTGGCAGGACGTGGGAAAAGTTGGAAGCCTTGTATGATGCTTTAATTAGTGTGACAGACCCCAGCACGGTAGGTGTTCATAGCCTGGGATAAGCCCTGCTCAGGGACAGAATGGAATTTTAATTCCAGTAAAACAATGGAATTTTAATTCCAGCAAAACAATGTCCAAGAAACACGATTTGCTCTCAGTGATGGCTTTGGTCACCCAGGTACCAACAGCAAACACATCCAGAGAGACATGATGCCAAAATCCTGCTCTAATCCTGTGGAGCATATCCTGGGTTCTGCACAAGCCACCAGCTAGAAATCCTCAGCAGAGGAACTTGCCTGATAAATTGGATAAAATAGATCCAAATGTTTCCTTTAATGGCAGGAAGTGCTGTCAGTTTTTCATATCATTTGTTTGCTCAAGGAGTGGGAGATAGGTCTAAAGATCAAATTCATTTTGAGCTTCTTCATAATTTGGGGGAAAGTCTCAGGTATTTCACTCCACCCAGAGCCACCCCTGCCATGGCAGGGACACCTCCCACTGTCCCAGCTCCTCCCAGCCCTGTCCAGCCTGGCTTGGGCACTGCCAGGGATCCAGGAGCAGCCCCAGATTCTCTGGGTACCCTGTGCCAGGGCATCCCCACCCTCCCAAGGAGGAATTCCCCCTAATATCTAATTTAGCCATTCGCTGTGTCAGTGGGAAGGCATTCCCTGTGTCCTGTCCTTCCATCCCTTTGTCCAAAGTCCCTCTCCAGCTTTCCTGGAGCCCCTTCAGGCCCTGGAAGCAGCATTAAAATCTCCCAGAGCCTTCTCCAGGCTGAACAACCCCGGCTCTCATTGCTGAACTATCTTCTTTTTACAGTGAGATGATCTTAAAATCCTAAATTTATGTGACAATGACAAAAACACTTCCAAGTAGCAAGGTAAATTCATTTACAAGACAAGGAAATAGAAATAGAAATACAATTACAGATACAGTTTGTATATAATAAATATGCATTCAGACTGACTGAAATGAGGCTTTTGTTCACCAGACATATGCACCAAAGCTGATTCTTCTGGATATCACAGACATAAGCTGCATTCGAGATGTTGCCAAGGAAATCCTGAACTGCTATGGCTGTGTGGATATACTGATCAACAATGCAAGCATGAAGGTGAAAGGAGCAGTGCAGAGCATTTCACTGGAACTTGATAAAAAGATCATGGATGCCAACTATTTTGGACCTATCACATTAACCAAAGGTATTTTATTTCTTTTTTTTTTTTTTTTTTTTTTTTTTTTTTTTGCTGTTACCACTTAAAGCACATTGGCAATTAAATGGGTTAACACTGGAACCAACTCTGCATGTGGAATTCAGGTGAGGTCTAGAAGACAATTACCAGTTATTGGATTTTGTGATACTTTTTCTTGCAGTATTGAGACAACCTTTAGTGAATTTGTGCTATTTACACTTCAGCTGTTGCTCCTTTTCACTAAATACACCTTTACTTATGTGTCTCTTTCTTGTCTTTCTCTTTTTGCAGCCATTCTCCCCAACATGATCTCAAGGAGAACTGGCCAAATTGTTCTAATTAATAGCATCCAAGGGAAAATAGGAATTCCATTTCGTGCAGCTTGTAAGTCACACATTGCAAAAGCATTCATTCTAATGCAAAAGTTGTGAGGAGACCATGACACTCATCATAGGTTATTAAAAGTGCTAATTTGCATCCAAATTTGGCATTGCTACAGCATTTGGCTGAAATTTTTTCCAATTGGAAATAGTTAAAATGCTACCTTAGAAATGTGACTGCTGCCTAGGGGACTTGGGAGTTTTTACAATGCCCCAGCCAATATTTATTAGCATAAAGAAATAGAAATAGAAATAGAAATAGAAATAGAAATAGAAATAGAAATAGAAATAGAAATAGAAATAGCATGATATGAAGCTGCCAGAAGAAGGAATGTCAAAATGAGTGCATGGAGAAGCATCTCTCTATTCCCAGAGCCCACCTAGAAATGCACAGGTTGATTTTCCCTGTAAACTGAGGCAAATAAAAGTGATTGAGCACTTTGCAACTCTGCTGCACTGAGCATACAGTTCTGTTTGTTGGTCAAGATTCACACACTGTCATCTTATTCCTACTGTTCTCAATAAAAAGGCTCTAAAAGCAGATAAAGAAGTGTTCACTTTAGCATTGAAAGCTGCTGCAGGGCAAAGTGCTAATTAGTTTACAAAGCATGAGGAGCACTGCATTCCAGCAGTGCATGTGTCCCACTGCATTTTATGGATGTGTTACAAACTGCAGAAACAGGTGTGAGGACTCATCTCAGGGACAATTCCACCACCAAAGACATTTTTGAGCTGTCAGGATAACAGAATTGTTATTTCCTAACCCAGGATGTGCAGTTTCTAACTGGGAAATGCAGAATGTGCTCTTTGACATGGCCAAGAGACTGCATGCACAGATGTCCTATACAGATAATTTCTTATTATTCTTATTATTTCTTATTATTCTTATTGCTTGTTTTAAAGATGTCATACGATAATTTCACTGTCTGAAATAATTCTTTTGCATTTTGGTTAATCATTCTGTGCTCATTTTCCCAAACACTGGTGTTTTATTATACACCTGCTTCCATGAAATCATATCTCTAAACATTCATATGTGTGTTTTTTACTTTTAGATGCTGCTTCCAAGCATGCTGCTGTAGGCTTTTTTGATTGTCTTAGAGCTGAAATGGAAGAATTTGATATTTCTGTCAGCACTGTGAGTCCAACCTTCATCTGTTCATACCATCGCCAGCCAGCACCTGGCAACTGGGAGGCATCTATTTGGAAATGTAAGTCTGGGTGGATGAAGGTAAGGCACATAAAGCAGGAGGGAGGCTTTTCCAGGGTTAAAAAAAAAAAAAAGAAAAATAATGGAAATGACAGAAAGGATGAACGGGCATGAGGAGCAAAAGAAAAGAGATATTGGAGAGGTAATATTAGCCAGGTGAAAAGAGAAGGAATGTGAAATGAGACAATGTTAACATAAATAAAAAAGAAAATAAATGTATCAGCGCTTCAGGAATGGAGGGGGAGGAGAGCACAAAAGGTCCAAAAGGACAATTCCACTGCACTCAGATTTCTCCTACCCTTAGGGACTGTAAGAATTTTACCTCAATTATGAAAAGATCTTGGCCACATATTGATGAGGAGAATGGAGTGGGGAAGGCATTGAAAGTACATAGAAATGAAACTGCTTTGACTGATTCACTAGCTGTGTGCCTTTGTGCCTGCCTGCCTGCCTTCCTGCCTGTCTGTAGCTCTCACTCCTCTCTCATTTAGTCTTTTTCAGGAAGGTGTCCTATGGTGTGCACCCCGTGGAGGTGGCAGAGGAGGTCCTTGCCACGGTGAGCAGGAAGAAGCAGGAGGTGCTTATGGCCAATCCCATCCCCAGAGCAGCAGTTTACATCAGAACATTCTTCCCCGAGCTGTTTTTTGCCATTGTTGCCTCAGGGATTAGGGAAAAGCTGAAGACAGAAGAGGAAAATTAATTTTGTTCAGTTATTTTCCTTGCTTTTGACTTGAAAAAAAAAAAGGTTTCTGTTTTGAATGTCAGTGACTTGTGCTGCTTTCTATGAGTAGAATAACACCACTATTATTGACACACACAATCATCTATAAAGCTTCTACTCTTCTGCTTTTAGGGATTATCCAATGTGCCACTGGAACCAAACTGCTCTTGCTGCTACAAATCCCATTGCTCACATAACTTCCAGCACCAGCTCACTTCTATACTGCGAAAAATGCCAATCACTTGGTTTTTAAAATTTTAAAAGTTTAATAATAATAAAATGGTTATAAAAATAGTAATACAATTAGAGTAATAAAGTTTAGAGTTAGGACAATTACAAGACAATAAAAAGCAAAGAATTACGGACATCCGGATGCTCTTGGACACTAAATTGTGAAAAGCATGACTTGTGAACAAAGGAATCACCTTTAAAACAATACACTTGCTGCATATTCATATATCCTTCATGGTTATGCATACATTCTATTTAAAACAAGAAACTCTGTTGTATGTCAACTGTTTCCTTTAATCCCCTGGCGTCTTCGAGTCTGAGCAAGGCCTGAAGAAATTAGTTTATTCTGATGAGAAAACCATAAATTCCTCTCCTTTGGAAGATTTAGGTGTTCCTCGAAGCAAGTATCTCATTCCTAAAAATAACAAAAAAAACCCTTCCCCCCCAACATACATAGTCTTTATTTTAACTACTGAAATCTTCATTTTAACTACAAAAGCACAACTAATCAATATAATGTAATACATATAGTAACTATCTGCATAGAGCCATATAATATGCATTGTTCACATATACCTCATTCATAACACAATCACCAAACATGAAAGGAGTTCTGGGGGCAAAGGAACATCTGTCATCTTGCAGGGACTTGAACCTTACACCAGTATCCCATCAAGAACGTTTCTAAAAACAGATTTTTTTTTAAATCTAGAAAGCAGAAGACAGTGATATCTTAATTAATGATTTTCAAATTCCTAAAATGTTCTGCAGAGAAGGCAGGACTGAACTGCTCTCTATGCCTGCTGGAGTAAGACAATGTGCTAAAATTGCTGCCAAGGAGATTTACAGGCACAGCATTTTCTGCTAAGAATAGTTAAGCACAAAGGAGAGATTGCCACAGAAATTTTCAAATGCCTGTCTTCAGAAGCTTTAAAGAAGAGATTAATGAAACATCTGTAAAAAAGCAATGTAGCTTTAGTTTATCCTGCCTAAAAGAAAAGAAGGATTAGATGACCTTTTAAATGGGTCACACTTTTCTCTAATTCAGTGGCTTTTTCTCATCTTGAAGATGAGGTTTCTCCACTGGTATTTTAGACATAATATTTTTTTTTTTCCCTCTGGGGAAATCTATTATTTAATATGAAGTTTTCTATTTCATTTCTTGTTCTCTGTTTCTCTCTCTCACCTGTGGATAATATATTGCACATAAAAATATTATGATAAGAAAAAGAAATATTAAGACAAGTTCAGGATAACAGGAATTGCATCCCAGAGGTGCCAATTTCTCTCATTAGCTTCCAGTGGTAACCAGGACTGCTGTAGATCTGTGCCTGAAATTTACTGAGATGCCATATTCATCAAAATTGATTGGATCTAATGAATCAGAATAAAAATGCTGCTGGTTTTCCTCTGCTTTCAAATAATGTGGTTCCAGGATGCACTGGGTGTCAAAAGTTAAAATAAGAGGCAGAATATAAAATTGTGGCTTTCAAATAGGGCTAAGAAATCTTGCATTTCATCAGGTGAATTTATTTACCAGATATCCAGCAGAAAACATGCAGCTTCTTGAATAGTTTGCATGAGAAAGACACACAGTTTGAAATTTAAGAATGGATCTGGGTGGATTCTTACTGCACAATAACGTAAAAAGCCCTTGCCCACCCACAGCACTTTATATGCATGCAAACCTGTGTAAGAAACAATCCTGAGGAAACAGCATATGGCAGAGACTGTCAGGCTGTGTTAGTAACATGCAGGCTAAGAAAAAAAACAAGGCACTTGCATAAATTGGATTTTTCAAAGGACTTGGAGGCATCAACCAAGTATGTTCCTGGACGAGGTGGAAATTCTTCCATGACATCCAGGAACAGCATGAGATGGGTAAAAATCTATTGTAAAGAAGAGTTAGGGTTGACAAAAAGCAGAAAGTCAGATGGAATCAGAAATAATTCCTCTGTTGGTGAAGATGTCAGAAACATATCCATCCCAAAGAAATGAGTGAATCGAGGGGAAGGAATCAAGATCTTGTGTTTTGGTCAAGGGATTGAGACTGCTCCTAACAGAGTGGGCACCAAACTCTAGGAACTGCTTTGTTCCCCTGCTGGACTGCAGGTGGCAGTTTCAGAGCACTGGAAAGGATAAAAACAGACTTTTCTAAAGATTACAGAGCAAACCTTACTGCTATCTGCAGCCACCTGGTAGGATGGTGTAGGGAATATGGAGCCAGATTCTTATCAAATATGCACAGAAGAAAGAAAAAGGTAGTGGGCACCAACTGGAACAAATGACATTCTGGTTTGATTCAAGAAATTGTTTTTACACTTGCAGCAGGGAAGCTTTGGGACCTGTTGCCAATGAGGTCAGGAAATCTCATTTCTTGAATATATTCAATACATGCACAAAAACTCTCCTCTCTTACCACCAATGATTTTCTTAATGATGCTTCTCTGTTATCAGCTCCACCTTATCCCTGGCCATAACCTGACCTGTTACAGTTCCTGCTGGCATAACAAGCTCAAACTCTATTTATTGCCTGAATAAAGATATATGGGGACTTTTCCAAAGCCCAGAGCTGCTCAGGAGACTGTGTAAGACCTGTGCCACCCATTGTTTCCCAAGGGGCTCAATAACAGGAGTAATCACCCAAGTGAAGGAAATCTGGTGTCCAACCAAGCAGGCCCACGGCTCAGTTCCATGAGGAAGCTCCATGTTCCTGATCTGTGATGATTGCAATCATTCCCACCTCCCCATCTTTAATCTGATTATAGATTCTTCATGTATAAATGTATACATCAAATTCTGATTCTTTCTGACTCTGTTCCCAGAATGATTCCTGGTTCCATAGATGAGTTGTGTGCTGTCCACAACCAGGTATTTTTCAGATTTCAGTTTGCCTCCTTATCAATCTTCCCAATTTTATTTTGCCTTCTTATTTTAAGTAAGTGTTTCCACTGAAACCTGTTCCCTCTACCAGCCTTCATTTCACAGCAAATCCACTGTGTGTGTGTGATGAAACTCTTGAACCATAAATTGAGGTCCACAGATTTTCTTGGAGAGACTGAACCTTCCACCACAAAAAATTATCCAAGCTGTGCACCACATGCTTTATTTGCTGCCCTGCTTCTCATGGGTTTTGGTTTCAGGATGGAATTTTTTACTTTTTAATAAAGAATCAGGGTGGAGTGATGCTCTAAAATTCTAAGAAACTCATATATTCTCTATCACCATTAGAAACTGCTTAAAAACTAGACCTGGGGGGAAGCTGTGTCACTGTTGTTATCTGAACCGAGCCACCTGAATCTTCTTTTCCAATACCAAGACTTCCTTGAAACATCCAGGAAATACAATTTCTTTATTAAGAAAAATAAACAATGCTACACATTGATACATTTTATTCATTAGCACTGCTTTGTTTGGATCTAGGATTATGATTTACAGAATGCTTGGAGATCAGGTTCAGCTTTACAGGACTGAAATCGTGGCCAGGTGACGCAGACTTCTCAAGGCGTGTGTGGGGTCGTCTGTGGTGTTTTGGAAAGAGTTCACATACACATTGCAAACCTTCTCTGGAGCTGTGTGCTCAGGAAACCTGTACTGAATCCTAAAGCTCCTTTCCAGCTTTTTCCTTTTGTGCTTGAATTCCAAGATAGTTTTTGTGTATTTGTTGATAGTGGTGACAGCTGCAGCCATGCAGCAAGCGAAGGAGGTCCACGCAAGGCTGAAAACAAAAAAAAGAAAAATTAGCAGAAATTAGCAGGGCATTTTCATATTCAAGTCCTTCTATTTTAATTTTGAAAACACCTCTTATGTTTGATTGTGTTGCAAGGGAAAGATGAACAGGCTAGGTGAAGGAGAAATACTCTTGATCAATGACCATTTACAGGTCTTGTTGCAATATCTACATTTAGCAAACCTGTTTAATGAAACCCGACCTCCAATTTCTCTATTTAAGCTCTATTTAAGCTTTACTTCTCTATTAACCTTAGAGCTTAATATCAGAAAGTAGTTTATTAAAAAAAAAAAAAGAGGAATGCATAAAAAGTTAAAAGGTGCAGTTATTATGACTATAAATCTCACAGGGGACACTGAGAAAAATGTGAGGTACCCAAATGTGTTAAAAAGAGCTATTACATATCTCAGGAAAGCAGGTTCAGAGCATTGAAATGCATTCCTGAGGAAATGCATGGTGTGGAAAACAGAGAAAAAAGGACATCAACTCTGAAATGTTAAAACAGAATTAAAAAAAAATATTTAAAAATACAGTTTGTTAAAAATGTGTGAAATTAAAAGCAGCATGTAAAAATATGGCCACATGAGCATGAATTGGAAGGTTCAGGTGGGGTCAGGTTCTCCCAGAGAACAGTGATGACACCTGGTTACTGAGCTGCATCCTCAGAAGTGAAATTAGTTAAAGGCATTGCTTATAAATTAGACATAATTCAAATATAAACCAGTCAGTACCCATAGGACCAGCCATAATCCCAAGTGTGAGGTCTCCAGTCCTCAGGACCAAGATTTACAGTCATTTGAAATACAGTCGTGTACATCATGTGAGCAACCATGCCCAGAAGACCTAAAAAATACAATGTTATAGTAATATCAGTTATTTAGTCTTTGGCAACCAACCTGACAACGAAACAAAAAATGAGCAAATTAAAACAATTAAGTTAAAGATAGCAAAAGCCACAAATATAACATTTGAAATAGACGACATTAAGAAATGCTTAAGTGAAAATAATATTTTCCCATGTAATTTTGCTTCACTTTGTGAAATGGGGATGCTTAACTGTACCTGCTAACACGGTGACCACTGCAGAGAAGGCGTTGATCTTCAGCCCATCAATGACAGAGCTGTAGTAGCATATTTC